CTAGCAGTCATTTAATATCCAATAAACTGCTTGTATATCAAATAATTGTGTGTGTATGTGTGTGTGTGTGTGTGTGTGTGTGTGTGTGTGTGTGTGTGTGTGTGTGTGTGTGTGTGTGTGTGTGTGTGTGTGTGTGTGCGTGTGCGTGCGTGTGTGTGCGGGAGCGTGCGTGTGTTTGTACGCCCGCGTGTGCGTGTATGGACCCCTTAAAATAAAGAAATACCTCCTCTGCCATTCCCACGCAAGCCAAAGCGCTTTCACTCCCGCGCGCCCACACGCACCCGCACTAACTCAGCGCAAAAGACGAGACGCGGCGAATTCGCAATAACGCCCCACGCACCAATCCAAGCAGAAGGAGCGGGGAGGGCAGGCAGAATGTGTGTGAATCGTCGCCTCTCTCTTTCCCAGATGCAGTGACCCCCACGTCCTCATCTGGCCTCTGTCTTTCCTCCACCACGCCGTCCTCCCGTGCGCGTTCCCCTCCCCCGCTCCCTTTCCTTTCTTCTTACACTTCTTCCACGTCCCCACTTCTCACATTTCCTCCTCTCCCCCTTTCACTCATTTCTCTTCCTCGCCTTTCTTCTCCGAACATCCCGTCCCTCTTCCTACACTGCCTCCAAGATTCTCTACTTCACCCTTTTCTTCTCCCTCTAAATCCGGTCCTTCTTCCCCTCTCTCCCTTTTTCCCCTTCCCCCCTCCCGCTTCTCCCTCCTCCCCGCCCTGATATTCCTTCTTTCCTCCCTTCCCTCTCCGTCCCCTTCCCCTTCCCCACATTCCCCTTCCTTCCTCCCCTACTCCCCTTCCTTACCCATCCCCTTCCCTTTCCTCCCCCCTTCCTTCCTTCCTTCCTCCCCTACTCCCCTTCCTTGCCCATCCCCTTCCCTTTCCTCCCCCCTCCCTTCCTTCCTTCCTTCCTTCCTTCCTTCCTTCCTTCCTTCCTTCCTCCCCTACTCCCCTTCCTTGCCCATCCCCTTCCCTTTCCTCCCCACCTTCCTTCCCCCCTTCCTTCCTTCCTCCCCTACTCCCCTTCCTTGCCCATCCCCTTCCCTTTCCTCCCCACCTTCCTTCCCCCCTTCCTTCCTTCCTCCCCTACTCCCCTTCCTTGCCCCTTCCCTTTCCTCCCCCCTTCCTTCCTTCCTCTCCCTCCCCGCCTTCCCCTTTCTCCCCTTTCTCCCCCCCTCCCCGCTCTCCTCATTCCCCCCCCTCCCCTTCCCCCGAGCCGAGTCGACTGGTCATCGCGTGATCTTTCCCCCACTGCGAGCGAAGAGAAGGAAGACAAAGGTGCTGCAATCCTCCTCTTTATTCTTGAAGTTGTTTTTTTTTTCTTGTAAATATCAAGATAATATATAGATGTATATTTTTCCTTAAAACGTAATGCTGTTGATATTTTTTTTTCTCCAACGGAAATAAAAAATATGATGTCAGGTCGGTGTTTCTTTCGCAAATTGTACTGAAGCTGCATGATATCGACTGCACAAAATAAATAACAATAATAATAATAATAATAATAATAATAACAATAATAAACATTACTACTAATAATGACATCAAATAAATTCAAAGGAAACATTCAAGATAATAATAATAGCAGATGCATTAATGATGGTAATTACGATAATTATCACATCAATATTGCTATGACAACTAATAACATCTAGCAACAAAAACAATAATAATGATGAAATATAGTAGTCAGTATAATAACAATGCCAACAGTAACAATAATAACAATACCAATAATATTAACAAACAGAGAGTGGTAATGATAATAATATATTAGAAATCATCACAATGATAATGGCAATAACAACAATGCTAATGATAAGGATAAAAAACTACTATCATTCTATCACTTCTACCAGGAATACTAATAACATCAGTAACAACAACGATAATGTTGATGACATACCAACACTACAATTACTTCTATTTACTATAACAATATTAACACTAATAATAAAAAATACAACAATAACCAACAACAATAAAAATAACGACAAAACAACAATAATAATAATAGTAGCAACAACATAATAATAACAATAATTATTTTTATCACTGATATGGACTGAATAACAAGATGGTGGACACAATATAAACAATAATTCTCATCACCATTATCATCATATATTGGCAACGATACAAAAAAAAAAAAAAATAATAAATAAATAAAAAAATAAAAAAAAATCGCTTATAACGTTACACATTTATTCTTGGTAGAAAATGGACAACGTTACCCCTCTCAATATGAACTTGCGGTCTCCGCCATTAATAATGAACGCAAAACTTAATACAATAAAATGCAATGAAACACAAAATACACACAGAGCAAAGGAAACGCAATCACAACACTCAAATCAGAAGCCACTAAAACAGACAATAACAATTATATCCCCAATAACAATTTCTTTCGAAAAGTCATTTTAAAAAGAGATCCGATCGCGATACGGAAAAAGCGATAGGCAGCGATCCAAGTCTCGAGCCACATTCCCACACTTTCTTCCCTTCAGCAACCCGCGCTGTGAAAGGCGTGTCTGCCCAGCCGCCTTTATGCTCGTAATGATCCTGCAACACACATCCTATCACGCCTCGCGCCTAACACGGACAGAGTGTGATAAAGATGCCATGTCATGCGGAGTCATGCATAATGAAGAAAGCTATTGAAATGATATGAAGACGTGAATGGTTGTGATAATAAAGATTAACACCCCAAAATGACAAAAAAAATAGATCATGTGGAACCGGATAACGTAACTCCAGCATCCATGACATCACGTCAACATTGAATGACAAGTGTTGACAGATCTTGAAAGCATGACAGAACATGTAAGCACGGATCAAGCTGTAGCCAGACCACAACGCCCTTTTTAAACCTGTTATCCTTACGAGCTTAGGTGTCGCGCTTCAGAAAAAAAATCGGAGGCTGTGTAACATTATAAAATTGTAAATTAATGTAGTTTGTATCAAAGTGACAGTGAGATGCACAGATACTGAAGTTAAAATAAAGACGTTTGTTATCACAGGTTACTTATTCAAAAATAAACAAAAGAAATGCCTTCGGAACACCGATACTAAAAATACCATTATGTAATAACCACACTTCCAAAACAAACAGCAGAACAAATATCGCCCTAATGTCCGCATGAAGCCCTTATTCTTGCCGCAATAACAACGCGCTCTGAACTTAATGGCGAGCCTCCAGGTGGTAATTACCAAAGCGGAGAGATTACGTCACAGCATATGGTATTCGGCGTAAGCATAAAACGGCGCCTGTACTGGCCCTTCTCGTGGCGGCAGCTGCTGGCTCTGTCCCGAGTGACTTCACCGGGGCACATAATTATGATCTGGCACACGGGTACGAACATACACAGTTGGGGCTGCCGGTATCTGTGTCGTGTGCCATTTTTCTGTATATTTCTTATCTTCCTCCTCTTCCTCCTACTTCTTGGATGTTTTCATGTCCGTTATCTATTATGTCTGCACATTTTTATCCACATTTATAAATAAATCAATAAAAATTAGGTAAGCAAATGAATAATCAAACAAAATCAACAAATAAATAAGTCAATTAAAACAATAAATAAATAAATATACATATAAATAATAGACAGCAGAATTACAAATAAATATATGTAATGTATAAAGTAATTATAAAGTATATACAATATACCAAAATCACAATCGCACACAGACACGCGCGCACGTCCACACGCGCTTATCAATCGCTGCATCAAAGCCACTCACACCCCGAGCGAAAGAGAAACCACAACTTCAGCTCATAATGGGCGATAACTAACTCTGATATCAGAAGGATTTAAGATCAGCTGTGAGGCCGTGGCGTGAGTGAAAGGGAATTTCTCAAGGCTTCGATATATCCTCGCAGAAAACAATGGAGTGTAAAGCAAATGTGGTGGATGAAATAAAAAGGCATAAAAAGGGAGACGGAGAACGGAAGGAAAGGAAAAAGAAAGGAAAAGGAGACGTCGCCGTTCTTGGTCGGATGAGGAATTGCGAGCCTGTGCATCAAGGGGCGCCATATGTCGTCTGCCGTTATATATCTTCTGCCTTTACCTGACATCCAAACCTTGCTTGAATTTACACAAAAGTAGTCGCTCTCTGTTTCTGTTCTTTCTCTCCCCTCCCTTACTCCATCCCCCTTCCCCCCCCCTCTCTCTCTCTCTCTCTCTCTCTCTCTCTCTCTCTCTCTCTCTCTCTCTCTCTCTCTCTCCATTCCTTCCTTCCTTCCTTCCTTCCTCCCTCCCTCTCTCTCTCTCTCTCTCTCACCCTTCCTTCCTCCCTCTCTTTCACCCTCTCTCCTTCTCTCATCCTTAAAGTGCACACGCATACACACCTGCACACATACACACGGCCGGATCCCCTGGAGCTAAAGATGACGAGCCCATTAGATGGAATCCAGTGCAATTTCTCTATGTAAGTAAACACGCGAGCGAATCCCGCAGACAGCAAAATGACAGCTATTCACAAACACCAGATGATGGCCGGGGGAAGATGCACTCAAGCAACTGCCACGACAAGAAGCAAAAGTCAAGCAAAAGTCAAGCAAGAGTGACAAGAGGGACAAAGCAAAGGTGGATAAAGAAGGCGTCCCGAGGATCGAGGGAAGGAAGGCACGCGTCAACGAAGGAATGGACTAAAAATAGAGGAACAAAAGAGGAGTGCTTGGAGGCGCTTGGGACCATGGGCGCCCTGGGCAAGGTTGCCGCTGGGGGGTCGTTTTCGGTGCTCTGGCGCGAAGCCTAGATTATAACTTCACCAATGAATATTCCCGGTTTAAAATAATCACAGCAAAACCCCAAGGCGTTTTCCTCGCGACTCACGGCAATGAGATTCATCGAGCGTCGTGACACGGCGGCGGCAGCGACGGCGAGGAGCAACAGCAGCGGCAGGTGGCGAGTGCCAGCAGCGAGAAAGGACGGTTTAGTCTCGAATGAGCAGTGAAGGTGGAAACACGTGGTCAGAGACTCATCGAAGTAGAAGCCTGAACACATGAGTTACATTTTTGAAAATTGAAACAATATCGATGAAAGCTCCTGCGTCATAAAAGTTAAACGGTACACAGAAATGCATCAACATAGCCTCTTTCTACAGTCCGCCTGGGCTGTCATGAAAGCAAATAAAAACGTATAACAAACTCCGTGACAGTTTCCTGTGGCTTGGATAACTATCTTTCCGGCGTTGAAATCCCCGACGCTGCCTCTCTCGAGCAGAACATCGCAATGGTCCCCGGAAGAGGAACTTGAACTCTGCCGCCAGGACCGCAGAGGTAAATAGAACACCGTGTCATCTCACTGTACAACTGCCATGGGGAAAGATGAGAGAAGGAGATGGAGGAGAATGAAAGAGAGAGGAAGAGCGAGGGAGGGAGGGAGAGGGAGGGAGGGAGGGAGGGAGGGAGGGAGGGAGGAGGAGAGAGAGAGAGAGAGAGAGAGAGAGAGAGAGAGAGAGAGAGAGAGAGAGAGAGAGAGAGAGAGAGAGAGAGTACAAGAAAAAAAAGAGAGGGAGGGAGCGAGGGAGGGAGGGAGGGAAGGGAGGGAGGAGGAGAGGGAGAGGGAGGGAGGGAGAGAGGAGAGAGGAGAGAGAGAGAGAGAGAGAGAGAGAGAGAGAGAGAGAGAGAGAGAGAGAGAGAGAGAGAGAGAGAAAGAGAGAAAGAGAGAAAGAAAGAAAGAAA